CATCGTATTTAAACTTACAGCACAATTGGAGTTTTAAAAGTTATGGAAACTTCTTACAGTTTTGGAGATTGGGCGGTCACCGGTTTCGGGTTGTCAGACCTTCGGTCAGTCGCAGAGAAATTGTTCGGCAATCACTTCTCCAACTTACACAAAAAGTCTGTAATTGATAGGGCACTCGACAGTCGACAGTCAGAATACCTGTTTGTATCTCATTAGTTCACTCTAAACTCTAAATAGTGTCACTCAGGATACTGTCATTAAGAATTAAGAATACTGTCACTCGAATCCATCGTCGTGAAAAAATAAGATTTCGTATGTATACTACAAATCTCAAACTTAGTAGAAGTGTCCGAAACTGCAGAGCTGTCTTGAGTGGACTTTTGGGATGGGAAGAATTTAGAGATCTAACGGGAGAGTAAACAGCCTCCCCGTCTGACACAGTGCCCGAAAGAGGATGGGTGGAAGCCTTGTATTTCTTCCTTCGCAAATCTCCCTTGGCCCCGAACAGCCGAGATATGCCCCCTTCGAAGAGCTTCTGTCCCGTCTGTTGGATGTGTCTGCAGAGGAGTTGGAGTAGTGGTCAATAACAGGGGACGGCGAGAGAGCTCTGCAACAACCAGCTTCAGATCTTCGTCTGTCTCTTGTTAATAAAATAACGGTCCCTTGTGGGGCGCCAAAATGTGCGCTCAATCTCCGCAAACTAGATAAAACGGCTCGGAAAATAAGGTTTTCACTCGTATTCTCGGCAATACGGACATTCATTGTCATTAATTTATAAATAAGCCAAAAATTCACAACATAACTCATGTTCATAATTTCAACCAATATTCCGCTCCAATAAACAAATTTGCGCAAGCTAGCCACAAGAACCGGTCGGTAATGTCCTTGAGACAAATTGCTCTTTTTGGCGGTCAGCCTTAATCAAGGCTGAACGGAACTAGAACCAAAAAAAAACAGTTAAAATAGGATATTACCCCCGTTTTTAGTATATTAATACATGGACAGGTGGGGGACTCGAACCTACGTCAACTGTTATTTCACGCATATAATCGGCGTTAGCTTAGGCCACTCGGCCAACTGTGCTTATTTTATATGCATCTATACTCTCGTTTTATATGCATCTATACTCTACATTTGCATTGCAACATCCTCCCCCCTGAAGAAGGAAGAACCGGAGCGAGCTTAACGGTCGGCCGAGTGACTTCACGGGTTGCGGTCTTAACAAGGGCGGATCGAGCGCAACCGTCCTGTCCGTAGTTTAGCTCGACAATTCGGGCAAGAGGGTAGTACCCACGCGGACTATCGGGCTCAATCACCCACACGAGATCGCCTGTTTTAAGAGTGAAGTCAGAATGAGTGTGCCACTTGACACGCTTATTCAGCGAGGGAACATGTTCTCGAGAAGCCAACGAGACAAAATCGCGTTAGCATATGACTGCGCTCGCACGTACCTTTTCTTGTGATCGAAGTGCTCCCCGGGTAAAAGCGAAGGAAAGCTTGTGGCATGTTGTCCAAGCAAAAAATGGTTTGGGGTTAACGCTTCTAACTCACGTGAATCACTACTAACGGGAGTGATTGGCCTCGAGTTCAAAGCCTGCTCAACTAAGCAGAGTGTTGTTCCTAACACCTCTTCAGTGACTCGCCTACTGCCTAGGATATCGTACAGCACTGGTCTTGAGATTGCTGAGAAAAAGGAAAAAGTTTCAATGATCATTACCATGAAACAAGAAAAGGGCCACCACGGCTACCACGTAAATCATTAAAGCTGAAATTTTTTAACATGGCTTGGTCGGTCGAAAAAGGATCTAAAATACTTGGCCAATAAACCAACTGACTATCATGATATCAATTATTTAGCAAGAGGCTGGAATTCTTTGCTACCCGATGGCCTCTGCATCTGCAACCGAAGTGGAAGTTGATATATACTTCTATATCGAGGGGGTCCATATTTCAATAATAAACAACGGCTGGTTTGAAACCTACAGTGGCGACTATTCTGTGACCACCAACTTGTCAGTCGACATGGGCTCGAACATTTTCAATACAAATCAAAGCCAAGATCAAGATTGCAATGAAATCGCGTTTCACTTTTATGGCATTATTGAGCTTTTTATTACTTTTTTATTACGTTTTTTCTCGGATTGCGGTTGTTCGGACGTGTTATACGTTGGAAATACCTTCTTTCCAATGGCTCATAATTGAATCATTTATGATAAATATTGGGCCCTTTCGATGCCTAGGTATAACAAGACTGCTCGTATCAGGGCGAAGGACTGAATGTTCCGACTGCCCTTTGAGGTTTATGGAGCAGTAATAACAAAAAAAATTAAATGTAATAAAATAAAATGAAAACTTTTTTCTAAAATTTGAAATGTGTTTATGAAAATCATCATCCCACACGCCATATAAAGTACAAAATAATAGATTTCGCTCCTTGTAACAAATCAATTATGGCAACTAAGCTTCTTTCAACCAATTGGAACAATTTCTAAGACGGATTAAATATCCGCTTACGCGTTAATAGCGTGAAATATATCGCGCGTTAACTTTCCCAAATTGGTCAAAATGGCAATCTTTAAAACCCCATAACTTTACGAAAAATGATCACAGGTAAAATATCTTTTCAAATTTAAGCTCAGGACAACAATAGCTTTCGAATGATATAATTTTTTTTTGTCAAAAATGGCTTGTTAAAAAGTCGAATTTTGTCTGATGAAAAAAAAACCCACCCCGAGCATAAACATTCCGTTACTTTCGTATCAAAAGTCGGAACAACAACATCAATTTTACGGTTTTATATGGTTTTATCGCCTTAAGCTATATGAATAGTAGACTCAGCTCCTGCTCCTAAATGTTTGCTAATAGACTGCTCGTATCAGAATTATTTTACAATCCGTCCACACCCCACCACCACCGCCATTGCAAAAGCTATTTATTACTGACGTAGAGGCATTTTGTGAGTTTATGTCAAATGTATGTCAAGTCTTTAGAGATGTGTGGCAACTTGCCTGTGATTCATATATGACCCCTGTATCATCTGTAACCGCCTGATACACATAAGTGCAGTTAGCTTATGGTTTTGTATGATACAGTCGGATTTAGTGCCTTTTATTCTAAATCTCGTTTTCTTCAACTGTAACATTACTCGTTTTCAAATCATTTTGTTATACTTAACCAAAGTTTGATGAGGACAAAAAACGTTTGGGGTTTTGCCAGCATTTTTAAGGTGTAAATGTTCTGCAAAATGTTGAACCAAACTATACCCATAAAACGGGTCAATTATTTTGTTTCCAAATAAGGGAGATAAACACGGTCAATTATAATTTTTCATAAAATTTTTGACCCTGTTGATTCCCTAATTTTGAACCTTATGAGTTGAACAGTTTTTTTACGCATTTGTTTGGTTCAAAATTTTGCAAAAAAGGCACCATGAAAAATCTGGTAAATCACTAATCTTTTTGTCCTCATCTTATTAAGGCCAAATATAACCGAAGTTGAGAAAAATGACCCTAAAAATTATGTCTTAGTTCATTTTATCTGGTTGTTTTAACCTAGCACTATGGTAGCTTGTTCAGCACAAAATGCAGTCAAAAACAATAAAATCGCGAACGCAAGCCCAAGTAAAAACAATCCATCTTATTGAACTATATCATCAGAATTCGGCAAATCTTTGCTGCAAAAAAAATCACTTCAAAATTCAAACACTTGTGAAATGAGAGATAATTTATAAAAAGCAAGTTTCGGAAACACCCTGTATAATAATGTAAAAAAAGTAGCTGAAACTTTAGAAAAAAAACTAAAGCAAAGAGATACACACTGAGTGCAGATTTTACTCATCCTTTACATATGTGAGGTGAGTGAGAAATCATAGCAAGAAATCTTGAAGAGGCTAAGTATGATTTTTGGGGCATCAAAACGTGACCGGGGATATTCTCGTAAAGACAATCGTCTGCATAGTTAAAGAAATTTTGATTAAACGACTTCTCATCCTTTTTTTGGATGACATACACTGTTGCAAAGCCAATACTTCGAATCATAAATCGATTGGTTCCTCAGGATCTGAAATGTTCAGATTATACTCAAGGTTGACGAGGCCATCGAACAAACTGCAAGGTAGAGCACAGAAAGGAAAGTAAACTCGGCGTAGATTCCAAACGGAGTTTAATCTATTGTTTTTGACCGAATAAAAAAAACTAATCATTAATCTGAATTTCAGTGACGAATACACAGTACGGGCTGCGGAAACAAAACGGAAACAAAGAATATACAAAAGACTCCCTAAAACTACGATGCGTAAAAAGACTGAAAGATGAAATTCATAAAATTGGTATAAAAAAGAGAGACGTTACCAGTCGCAAATTTCAAGATAATTAAAAGTTTTTTTTAATAATTAATCCCGAGCAATCAGTTCAACAGCTGGGTTGTTGTGATTGTTGGGCTTGGCACCAGGATAGTAAGGCGAAGATTCTCTTTCGAAGTTTGAAAAATTTGTCATGACTTGACAGAGAAAGCAACAAAGCTTGAACAAAAAAAGCAATGTAACCACACATTTGTTAGAAAACTCTCAAAAAAACTATCAAAAACAGAAGAGTGAAAAACAAATTAAAAAAAACGCAAACCCCAACATTGAATTAATTAACATTAAAAAAGTTGAAAAAATTTAACACCCCAGTTCATTTATTATTATTATTATGTAATTACTTGTTCTTTATTGAATGGAAAATTCTTCAGTGGATTAAAAAAGAGATTAGCAAAAGGTGTTTCCGAAGATCTTTGACCGGAGATAAGAAAAGCAACCCCAAAATACTGAATTTCGCGTTGCTAGAATTTCCAATCTCTATTCCCGCCTCCAATAGAAAATAGGCTGCAAAGCTCTTCTCCATTTTATGTTTCAACATACAGACTATTATAGTATTCTAAATAATGTGAAAATTGCATGTCTTAATTATTTAATTTCTCCGAATCGTCCCATCTTAAGCCTGAGCGACAGAACTTTTTAGGCGTGTTGGGTGGTGCTGCTTCTGTTAGCTTTGTAGCTGGTCAAGCAGTGACAGGAGAAACATACTATTCTAACGTGATACAAGCAGGAATGTCAGGCGATTCTGACGTGAATATAACCGATGATGATTTGTGGGGGTACAATGACGACATAACCATCGCGACATTCACAACAGAAGTCTCGAACCAGCTCGGCTACAACATAACAGGACTGAAACCCGGTCAGCGATATTTCCACCAAATCAAAGCAGGAACCTATATAACTTCGGGGGTGTCGGAACAACAGTTCACCAATGAGCTTGAGGAGGAGTTTATTCTAGGTAAGTTGTTGACACATCTTGGTTTTGTATACTTCAAGAAATTGATAGCTCCTTATTGTTAAAAAACACTTACTTCTTCGCCGAATGATCTTTTCCGCAGGCGAATTGTCAAAAATGGGTGTTTTTAGGCTCGTTTGGAAATTTTAGGCGCTCTAGATTGATCAAATCGGCTCTCTAGCGGCAAAAATGAATGAATTCAGCTTGCGTAAAATGATACCAAATGGTGAAACAAAAAAAATGTGAGGCTAGGAAACTAGGACGACAGGCATATCAATTTACGGAAAAAATAATAGAAATCAGTTTTTCAAGAAAAAACTGGAAAATTGAGACGACAAAAAATACGTTTGACAAAATGTGACATATCGCCCTGCCGGCCCAAAGAGTCTCCCCTTTGTACTATTTAGAGATATCCAAGTTTGGCGACGGACCCTAAAGTTTTCTAAAGGCGCCTTTGGCGCTAATTTATACTAAATTTGATGGGGGAGCGCGCGCCAAAAAAACGTGACTTTTTGATCAAAATTTTCCAAAAAAAACTGTTTTTCAAAACTTTGCCTGCGGCGCTAAAAGTTGGGCCAAAACAGTGTCTGTTTAGTGCTTTGGGAAAAAACTCGGAAAATCAATTTGATCGACCTAAAAAAAGGTAGACAATTTTCGAATTCTTTTTGAATATCCGCCCTCCACGAGAAAATCCTAGATGCGCCCCTGTATCGCATTAAACAAGTTTGTCGCGTATTTTTATTAGTACCGCGACAACTCACGCTAAAAGACAACTCGCAAAAATTGAAAATTTAGCTTGAATAACGGTATTGACAAGTCACAGCTCCGCTGTACCCTTCGACACTTAAAGCATACTGCGTATAAATTTTCCGTCGTACTTACTCTCTTACTTAAGTTAGTGATAAAAAATACCAAAAAAAGGTAGAGAAATAAAGTTCCTAATAATCGTGTTTCCCACACCATGTAGTTTTAGGTCAATGATAATGGTTTGTTAATAAAAAAGTTCAATAAGAAATTCAATACGTTCCATTAATATTTTGAAATGATTAAAGTTTAAGCTGCTCAAGTTTTTAACTGATATTAATCAGAAGCAGATTTAGAGGGCTTGGGGTTGTTCATTTTTCTGAGTCGGTTTTTGGTTATAATCATCATGCATGCATAATTGTTCAGAGTTGGGTGACATTGTAATGACTCCTGACAACGTAAAAATCTTGCAGAAGAAGGGAAAGGAGGAGGATCTGTGTGTGGTCTGGTGGTATCCAAAGGCAGCCGTCTTCTATAACTATATATGGGCAGAAGTGGAGGAGGGCAATACCAAAATTGCACCCGCTGAAGCCCCCAATCCATCCCATGATGCTGAATATCAACAAGTGAAGGAAGAAGTGAGTTTTTGTTGACTCAAGTAGCCTTTAACTTATACAACTGACTTGCAGTGTTTGAATGCAATCTTCAATTAATACGGCAAAGAATTAGATGGGACAAGGAAACAAACTAAAGGTTAAAAATCACAGAAATGTTTTTCCTTCCAAAATGTGAATTGAAACTATAAAACCATAAAAAATTGGCAACCCTTGTCGTCTGTTTTTCTAGTTACTTTTCTTGAAAAGACTATTCAATTTGGCAAAGAAGCGATGACAAGATAGATTAAAACGTTAAAATATTGCGTAAAAACGCTAACAAAACTTGCCTAAGAACTTATTTTTGTACAGTTACCTGCGCCGCGAGCAACTGGATATGAAATCGCAATTAATGCTGCTACAAGTTTTTGAGAGGCATCATTTTTCTAAAAACAAAATGGTTTCAAAAAGCCTCAAAATGATTAAACGAAAGTTTAAAAACTATGAACAACCGTATCCGTGTAAAACCATGCGAAACCCAATTTTTTGATAAAATCAAGCTGTTTTTCTTCAATCGCTAATTTTATGGACAACAATTTTTTGGCGAGGATCGTCTGGAGTTACCGCAATTAAATCGCAGTCTCGGATCGGTTATAGTCTGAAGAGGGACTGATCTAAGATTTTCATGACTTTGAAAAAAAAACAGGTCAAAATGCCGATTTGGCCCAAAAAATGCGTTTTTTTCTAGCGCGAGTTTCCTCAAAACTATATATTGGCATCGAAGGCGCGTTTAGAAATTTTTGTTGTCGTTTTTACGGTTGTTGGGGCTTTACAGTACAACTGAACGGATTTAAGTCCCATATCTTCTACAGTTTTGTTCAGTTGTTTCTACACATGTTGCAGTCGCAAAACAAGAGCCTTCATGCGTTTGTTTTGTTCCTCCAATCGATTGTCGAGAAACTCCCAAAGTAGACAATTAACTGCACGAATCTTGTCCTATAGTCCTAGTTTTTCAAAAAAAATCGATTTCTTGATTGATATTTATACGATTTACCAATCGACCATTCCGGAAATTAAACACTCCTCTCGTTTTCTCTGTCCCAGTTTTCTTGAGATTGAAAAACACTTGGAAACTCAACCATTGAGAGTAGATCAAAGTCGTCGCTCTTTCACGTATGAGATCAGACATTCAAAGTAGTTCATTCAGACGAAGAAACATTGCGAGGGGAAAGATGTGTAGCAATTTTAATTGTTCAGTTTACAATTGCAATTACTCAATTTAGAATTTTCTTGTGAAATTGCTCTAGTTTTGTCACACCTCTTTTTGGGGTACTTGAAATCTTTAAACCATAGTATGCGGTAGGTATAATTAGTGATTTGTACAGCTCAAAATTTTTTCGAATTTTCACTCCGTAATCAACGTTTTTTTGAATGCAATTGTATATATATAAACATATTTGGATACATCTGCTAGCAGCTTTTGGTGGCTTAATATTAATTCCTCAGAGAGATCTTTTTTTAAGATACTGAAAATTAGAGGCCCAAGCAGCGATTCCTGCTGGACTCCTCAAGTAAAATCCAAAGTATCAGACGAATTACTGTCTGCTCGTACGTAATGTTTTCTGCTGTTAAGATAATCAAAGATTCCAATGTTGCTATTTTTTCTGAGGAATTCGTAGAGGGCGCTTTGTCGAAAGATTTAGGTAATGACTGTTTCGTTATAATTAACAGTCTCCAAAATGTTCTATATAGTTTTGAATTTTTTTTGGAGAATTTGGAACTAAGTTCACCCCTTTATCGCAAAAACTTTCTTCAAGTTTGGTTTGCCTCCTTTTTCAATCCAATCTTGAGATTGCTGAGAAAAAGGAAAGTGTTTCAATGATCATTACCATGAAACCAAAAAGGGGCCACCACGGCAACCACGTAAATCATTAAAGCTGAAATTTTTTAACATGGCTTGGTCGGTCGAAAAAGGATCTAAAATACTTGGCCAATAATCCAACTGACTATCATGATATCAATTATTTAGCAAGAGGCTGGAATTCTTTGCTACCCGATGGCCTCTGCATCTGCAGCCGAAGTGGAAGTTGATATATACTTCTATATCGAGGGGGTCCATATTTCAATAATAAACGACGGCTGGTTTGAAACCTACAGTGGCGACTATTCTGTGACCACCAACTTGTCAGTCGGTAAGGGCTCGAATATTTTCAATACAAATCAAAGCCAAGATCAAGATTAAAATGAAATCGCGTTTCACTTTTATGGCGTTATTGAGCTTTTTATTACTTTTTTATTACGTTTTTTCTCGGATTGTGGTTGTTCGGACGTGTTATACGTTGGAAATACCTTCTTTCCAATGGCTCATAATTGAATCATTTTATGATAAAAATTGGGCCCTTTCGATGCCTAGGTATAACAAGACTGCTCGTATCAGGGCGAAGGACTGAATGTTCCGACTGCCTTTTGAGGTTTATGGAGCAGTAATAACAAAAAAAATTAAATGTAATAAAATAAAATGAAATTTTTTTTTCTAAAATTTGAAATTTCCTTATGAAAAACATCACCCCCACTCGCCATATAAAGTACAAAAGGATAGATTTCGCTCCTTGTAACAAATCAATTATGGCAAATAAGCTTCTTTCAACCAATTGGAACAATTTCTAAGACGGATTAAATATCCGCTTACGCGTTAATAGCGTGAAATATATCGCGCGTTAATTTTCCCAAATTGGTCAAAATGGCAATCTTTAAAACCCCATAACTTTACAAAAAATGATCACAGGTAAAATATCTTTTCAAATTTAAGCTCAGGACAACAATAGCTTTCGAATGATATAATTTTTTTTTGTCAAAAAATGGCTTGTTAAAAAGTCGAAATTTGTCTGAAGAAAAAAAAACCCACCCCGAGCACAAATATTCCGTTACTTTCGTATCAAAAGTCGGAACAACAACATCAATTTTACTGCTTGCTGTCTTTTTTTTATGCCTTTTTACTAACTTAATGAAAGTTTAGGAGAACAGAAAACCAATATGGTTTTATCGCCTTAAGCTATATGAATAGTTGACTCAGCTCCTGGATTTATTAAATGTTTGCTAACAGACTGCTCGTATCAGAATTATTTTACAATCCATCCACACCCCACCACCACCGCCATTGCAAAAGCTATTCATTACTGACGTAGAGGCATTTTGTGAGTTTATGTCAAATGTATGTCAAGTCCTTAGAGATGTGTGGCAACTTGCCTGTGATTCATATTTGACCCCTGTATCATCTGTAACTGCCTGAAACACAGAAGTGCAGTTAGCTTATGGTTTTGTATGATACAGTCGGATTTAGTGCACTTCATTCTAAATCTCGTTTTCTTCAACTGTAACATTACTGGAGTTCAAAATTTGCTTATGCTCGAATGCTAAACTACTCCTTTATAGAGGTTTTGTTACCAGCTTCCATAAGGTGATACTTCCAAAATCTTTGAAGTTTCACCTCAAGCAATATTATCTGAAAGAAGTTGCGTTGACGAGTAGAATTTTTGTGCTTTTTTCTTACTAATGATACAAATAAAGGCTTTTGGAACAAAGAAGCTTTTTGCACCAAATAAAGTTTTACAATCAAGACTTTTTCTAAGACTGCTTTTCCTTGAAGAGGTGAGTTTTGTCCTGGTGGCGTCGCACGAGGAGGGAGCATGTCTGGAGAGGGACGAGGAGTGGGAGTGTAAGGTCAGCGTCCACGTGACCTCTTTTGGAGCTGATATGAATCATCATTTAGAGTACCGTTACACGGTGAGCAGAATATACTACTTAACACTTAGCCTTGTAAATCACATTCGCACCTCATCAACGATTCGCAAGAAATTTCTTACAAAAATTTTCTAGCAAAAAATAGAGCCAAAGGGTCCCTTACTGGTACCAAAGGGTCCCCCAATGGTACTATTTCAAAACATCCGTTTTTGACTGATTTCAGACCATAAATTGACAGTTTCAAACGCCAATATATGTACTAGGGGAGAGCGCGAACTTTTTTGGACATTTTTTGATAAATTCGCTTGCTGTGCAGCAATTTTGGCCAAAATAGGAACTTTATACTGATTTCGGAGGGCTCAGAAAATCAATTTGGTCGACCTACAAAATTTTTATCTCAAGAAAACCCTAGACCCGCTCTTGAATAGAGCAAAAAGGGATAATTATAACGATCGGAATCAATTGCATTGTCTGTTCCATTTTTTGCCGTTGAGTTATACGATCTCTTGACAATTTTTCGAATTTTTGGGAATTGTTTTGAAAATCTCCCCTCGAGGAAATCGTAGAGTCGCCCCTGAATAGAGCAAAAAGCAATACTTACAATGATTAGTTTCAATTGCATTGTATATTCCATTAATTGCCAACGAATTATAGGATCTCTTGCCAATGACTTCTATGCAATTTTATTGGCCCATTTTGATGATATTCAGGCTAAACATTATTGATGAGTTTTTTTCAATATGTCAATTACCAACAATTTTGTTCTGGTATTAAAATCATAATAATAAATAGGAACATCGACACTAATTACTTTCCGTGATTATGATCGCGAGTTAGAGAATAATGAGTCCATGATGCAGTGGTTTATGATGAATTAGTGATCATGGTCCATCATAACTGACAAATCCAGGTTGACAAGGGCGGAAACAACGGGGCAATAATGAACATCGGCTGTGGGGTCGAAGACGCGCAAGGAAAGATGGACTGCAGCTCTTACGTCACTGGGCTGGCAAATGACGAGACCTACTCGGTGGCCTTCGAGAAACTGTGTGTCGTGGACACTGATGAGTGTATGGATTTGTCTGGAGATGGTCTGACTGTAGAGCTCAAAGTCTCCATGGCATGCGCTGGTACCTTTTAAAGCCCAAGTTTTTGGTTCTAATGTTTTGATTAACAAATAACGACACCTAAATTTTTCAAATCTTTTGATTAGTTCACCTTTAAAAAAGTCCAAAATATTTGAAAATGTGTAATGGCAGTTTTATCATGACCAAGAGACCTGAATTTCAGGCACATAGAAGATTTATAAAATCAACATAATGTGTTTGCTTGTCGCATTACATAATTACACTGATGGGTTTTAGCTCAGCCAATGGGACTCCTCGGATCAGCTGTTCTCATGTATCTGGCTAATATCTGGATATTTGGAAACTAATTGAACAATGGTGCGCGGAGAAAAACTGTACAGAAAATGGCGATTTCGTTGAAGGCTACTTAAAATTTTGAAATTTCAAGTACAATAATTGAATATCATTACACAGGTCAAGCGTAGTGTATTATAACGAAGATTTTTTCTAAACTTAAGTCGCAAATAAAAGTGCGCATTTGGTGGCACTTTTGTTTTACATCAGTTTAACAAAAGTGCCACCAAATGAGCACTTTTATTTGCCACTTAGATTAGAAAAAAATTCGGCTCAAACCCAAATTCGGCTCCCTAAATTCGGCTGAGAAACAGGTATGGCCTCAAACAAACCCATTTTTTGACAATTGGTTAATTTTTAAAACATTTTGATTTTTCTCAAAAAATACCCTGCCAAGTTGGAGATTAAAAAAATAACCAAAAAAAATAAGTTATCATACCTGTGCAAGGTGGTATGCCCTGCATTTTGTAAAAAACGATAGCCTTGGAAAATTTCCAATTTTTGAATATTTGCCAGCTTTTTGGAAAGTTATTTTTAAAAAACTAACCTTCTGATTCTGAGGTTGAGAGCTGGTTAATACTGACATGGTGCTTAGATTTTTTCAGCGTTAGCTGTTTTACCCTGTGATTTTCTAGATTTTTTTTTGTCTCTGTTCTCGGAAACGACTAAAAAATTGGGGCAGGGAAATCTTCAATCGACGAATTGGGAGGTTATTTCCTTGTTTTAGTAGAGAAAAGTTTATAGATTTAGGAAAAGTTAATTGTTTTTTGAGTTTTTGATTGGCTTAAGAAATCAGACCTTCAATCGAAAGAACAAGTAATAGTTTATTCTTTTAAATAAGCGGTTAAACTCATTACTCAAGCAGAAAAACACTAGGTTTTAGCGTAATTTCCATGAATTTCGAAAATGACACAACACAATCAGTACAATATTGAATTAAAAATAATAAAACAGGTAGATACAGCATTACCTGGGCCACTAGCTTATTTCCAAACAACTGTGGTGCAGATGCGAGGAAGTGAGGCTCCTAATCAAAAGGTCGGAAATTCGAATTACAACATTTAGGTAGTTTTGTTTTTTGGGCGAATTTTTGATTGAAGAACAGTGGCAGTTTGATAGAAACGGTAACTACCTTAAGCTGTCGTAGAGCAGATGCGAGAACGTGATACTCCTAATCTCAACAGTTTTTTTCTTAAGAATTATTTTATCTGATTTGTTTTTCCTGTTTGAAGCTCTTTTTTGCATTTTCCTCTGCGCTTACATTACAATTACCACTATTAATTCACTACTTACACAAAAGAAGCATACAAATTTGATTGAAAAAATCCCACACGCCCATCTTTGCCTTATTGGAAGTATTGATTAGACGCCTCTTCACAAACTAAATTTTTATTAGAGTCCCTATTGCTGACTTCAGCTTTTGACCTCTGATCCTAGTTGATTAATCTGAAACTTTGAACAAAGATTACAAATTTTTCCTGAATTGTAAGAGGTTCTAACTGAAGTCTGCGCTCAAAATCTGTACATCGTATGTGTAAATACAATATTATACTCAGATCATATCACTTTACAATTTAAACTTCAATAAATGTTTGTTGCTTCTATCGAAAGTTGCAATTGATTGATGAAGTCTTGGATAAAAATTCGAAGCCAATGTTGAGCGTTGATTTATTATTGTTTTTCTAAAATAGTTTCACAACTGAACTGCATAGGCAAAGCGGTTTTCTGTGTCATTGTTGAAGAATAAATGCATGCCTTGCTTTAGTAAGCAGGCCGATTCCTAAGCAAGGTCAATTCCAAATTGATTGAAGTATTTACAATCTACTTATAAAAAATGCAAAAAGAAAAAAGCATTTGAAGAAATTGAAACTTCAAGTAATTACAGTTAAACATCTTGTCGTATACAAGTTAAACCGATCATCGCAATCAAACTTGGTGCTTAAAAAATGAGCATTATCTAGAGGAGATCAAAAAGCTACGAAAAGATCTGGACCAGGATCATTTAATAATGAATCTGGGGAATGGACAAATAAAAAACTAATAAGCATTATCAGAACTCTAACTTCAAAGCTTTTAGTTCAACGAGATGTGGCGCAGAGCGTCAAAGCTTTTAATTCAAAGAAATGTAGCAAAAGTAACAAGTTTGTCTGAGACACTTGTTATTCAACCGAAACCTTTTCGTAACAGGCGACAACTCATAACAGGCAAAAAATTGTAAAAAGCGACAATTTGAAACGAGCGACAATTCGTGTCAAGGCTTTGGCAAGTAACATCTGGCAAGAGAAGAATACTGAGCGTGATTCAGTGTTCCTCGCTTAACCTACTGTTACGATTTGTCGCTTGTTCTGAAATGTCGCTTGTTACGTTTTTCGCCTTTTACGGAATGTCGTCCCACGTCAAAAAACATATTAGGTCTGAAACGGGAGCTTCTGCAGAAGTCAGGACACTAATTATTTACAAGACTTCTTGTATCAGGGCGACGCCCTGAACTTTCTGACTGCTCTTTTTAACGTCTATTTGCTAGTGATCAGTTCAAAAAATGAGAAATTTTTAAAGTAGTGGAAAGATAAGCTAAATCACTATAATACTTACTATCACTATAAAAATTTCAATTCAATTTAAAACAATTTCTATGCCGGATTATATTGCCAGTTAGGACTTCACAATATGAAGTAAATGGCGAGTTAAATATTCTAAATGGCTCTCTTGATCAAAAGTAAAACTGAACTCAGAAACGATTACAAAAAAATGATCAAAGTAACAACATCTTTTTTGGATTATGAGCTCAAGATGAAAATGATATTTAAAAATCCGTCAGAAATTGCTAGTTAGAAAATCAAGAGTGTTTTCTGCAGAAAAAAGCACTTCGGGTACAAATATTCTGTCTTTGTCTCCGACAATCGGAAAACTAGCTTGTCTCATGAGTAAAAATATTTCTGGCATTTTTTTTTTTCGAATAAACTTCTCCTCATTTGGCTTTCAACTTTTGGAACTGTTTACACTTGCAAGGGTAAATATCTTGCAATCGAGAACTACATTTTGTTTTCCATAAGCAACTGAACTTGCTTCATTATTGAGCCTTAAAAACTTCCAGTTTCCTTCCACTGAGGCGTGGAGGTTACGCGGTCGTTTTTGCACTTTTAGTTTTCAGGTTTTAGTCCCGTCAGTGCCTTGTTTTATTCAGTGGGTCTAATACAGAAAAAAAAATTTTCCGGTAAAAATTGAATTGTTCTTCATTGAAAGGCGTTTCATTTGTCTGTTCAAAAATTGTCAAGTTCTTCCGCTTCGGAAGTTTTCCGTTGCTTGTTGCCCTTGCGAAAAGCAAGAGTATTGTAATCGGTTATTAGACTTTTTTCCCGTAAACAATTTTGTTCACATGACCCATCTGGACTCCTGGTGGTACTTTGTTTGAAAATGAACTCAAAATGCATAGTTTCTCCTGCACACTTGTCTGGAGGTAACAATTACGCCTGGACCGCAGAGGTCCTGGGTTCGCACTTGACCATTTTTTTCAAGCAGGAAACATTCTGTTTCAAATAAAAATTTTGGCCTAATATTTTTCTGCATATGTTTGTCGCCTCCGTTAACACATCGGAGAATCGTCTGTTTTTGCTGAACAACAAAAACAGTTTGCATTTTAGTTGCTTATAGTGCGTTAACAGTTTAAAAACCGACGAATCGAAACTTGATTTTTACATTGATTGAAAGTTTACCGACTCTATTTAATTTTAAAAGTTTCGTTTTTTTTTTTCAATTTTATTGTATTTTTTTTTCGGCTTAGTAGGTTTCTGGGTGTTCTATATCGTTGTTTGATGGCCGAAAACAAAGTTTTCATGGGCGACTGTGTGTTATGAGGGAAAGGGTAAACAAGTTTTCTCAACCATCGGGGCATCTGACACAGATATAACACAATTGCTTGAGTCAAAAAAATCGCTTTGAATTTGGCCGGGACCTGTTTTTTTTGCAAATCAGAGTTTTTGTGCTTTTTCGGACTATGGTCCGTCTGTTTAATTTTGTCTAAATAATTTTTCGTAGCCGACTTTTTTGAAAGTTCAGCTTTCTTCCAAAATACTTCAACGGCCTTGCTTGAGACGACAGAGCCGGGGTGTCCTCTCAAGCAAGGGTGTTAAAGTAATTTGGAAAATAGCTGAACCTTCAAAAAGTGGGCTACGTAAAATTTATTAGACAAAATTAAACAGACAGACGATAGTCCGAAAAAGCACAAAAACTCTAATTTGCAATTCCAGTAGAGACCTGTTTCTTTTGCAAACTGAAAATTTTCGGCTTCCTTAGATTATTGTCTTTCTGCTAGTTCCGCAGATAGGGTTTTCCTTGGATTTTTTTTTCTTTCATTCCCAGAACTTTAAGTAGTATCTATTGATGCAGGTTATGTGTGTCGGGTATGATGATCTTCTAATGCAATTTTTATAATTTTATGGAAAAAAAATCGAGTTTTTGGATGATTCAAATTTGTTTTAAAATTTCTTCTTTCATTTTAATCAAAAATAGTGCCAAGCTCAGCTTCGCCTTTGTGTTTGAAACTCAAATGTATGGCTTGGCAAATCAGAAATTTTTGAGCTCAAGGTATAAACCAGGTTGTTAGAAACGATTTTTTCTAACTTTTTTACACAAAATGTTATGGCTCTCGGATTAGTTAGTTTTATAATTTTTCAACGGTTCCTTGGATCTATATGTCTTTTCTCGGTAACAGCACTATCAAATTCGAGATTGTTCAATGAAGTAAACAGTTGTTGAGACGCCTCCTTTGAATTAACGCCACAAAAAAGCGGAGTGGGAAAAGTCAAACTTTTGAAATTTCGACCGTTTTTTGAGAATGTGTGACTATTCTCAAAAACTACAGACCCAAATCAGAATTTTTGATGTTCAATCAAATTAACAGGTTGCGTGAATTCCTTTACAGGTGGCCTCTTTACACAAAAAGCTCTGATTCTCAGAATAATTAAAATTTTGAATTTTTGACCATTTTTTGGAAACTTAATGACTTTTCTCAAAAACTGCTCTGCCAGTTCTTAAGTAAGGTGTTCAATCGACAAACCCGGTTTCGGGAATCTTCTCTGCTGAAGCGCCATCGCCTATTTTCTTCAAAATTTAGTTTTTGCAAATTATTCTGAAAGTTAAGTGTTTGAAATTTTGACAGTTTTCTAGAAAACTTTTGAACTCTCTCGCCGGACAATTTGCAAAAAAAAATAGTTTTTCTTGGAAAAATTTCAATTTCTCAAGCGCTTGCACTCTTTTCACTTAAATTGTTTGAGAAACAATTGAAGTTTTTGAACAAAGTCAATTTTTTGAAATTACATCCAGTTTTCTTCATTCAGTATTCTTAAACAAAATTCAAAAAATAAGGAAGTACCTCCAGCTCTAGCAGGGCCCCTACTTAGTTTTTTGCCTGAGACTTAGTTGAGACATTGTTCACCTGCTGAGAAAGTTTTGGATCACCTGCTTTTTTTAAACATTTCACATTTTTCGACTTTCTATGTTTTATGGTTTTTTTGTATCGCAAATTGTGCAAAACTCAGGTTCGTGTCTGTGTTTAAACTAAACAATCCACAAAAAAACTCAAGAAAAGAGCAAAAAATTTAGAATATACATGCAAAACAAATTCAAAGCTGTGAAATCTGCTTAAGGAGGTTTGAATTAAAAAGTTTTTTGTTTGCAACTGAACTGCCGTGGTTTTTTCATTGTGTCAATTAAGAATAGTGTTTCAAAATTTCCTTGCTTTTCATATATAGCTGTTATTGCCATGCATGTTCAATAATTTTGTAAGTAACATAAACCAATGAGTTTGCTCACGAATGTGCAATTTTAACAAAAAATTGTTTTTAGTGAAAGTTCGAATCGGGAGCTTAATCGGGAATGCATGGTTCAAAACAGCACTTTTCAGTAGCTGAATTAAAAGTTTGCAACTGAAAGTATTTTCGATTGTTGAATTGTTTTCGTTTTTGCGAAACAAAATATATCAAATTTATTTTTCGTAGAACTGTTTTGATCAAGTGAGTTTGTATTGTTACCATGTTTTCAGGAAAATCACGGAAAATTCGTACTATTTTTTTCTTCACACAAGCTTCGATTTTTAACAAACCACTTTTCAACGGAGTTTTTATGTCGTGTCCTTATGACTTTTTACCATCCCTGAGCTCAAAATTAATTTTAACTTCTGATTTTTTTTGTAAATTTAACAAGTTTTGAAGAATGCCAATTTAGAATTTTTCGGACAGCTAAACAGCGATATAGTCGGTTCTTTTAATGCGCGAGTAACTTACTCAAGCCCAAAATTTATTCCAATTTGATTTAACGAAATGTGTTTAAAACAACTAGTAGCTCGCTAGACGCTATTCACATTGCTTTGTACTTTACGCAGTAGGAGAAAAAAATTCAAATTTTTTTTTTGAAAAATTGTCTTATATAAGTCTTATCTTTTATACATTTCCTAAAAAATGATTGAATGCTTGGGCATAAGAGGCAATTGGAAAATTTAAGGCCTAGCCCTGCGTTACCAGCTTTACTTTGCTTGTGCTGAAAAAGTTCAGGAAACATTCATGCAAAAGGCGTGAAAGGGATTACTTGCATGTATTTTTTTTACAAATCAAGAAACGTTTAAGCTGGCATAACCAATCAATCAAA